TGTGTGCTTGATGAATTCCAGGGCATTTGGAGCGCCTGATATTTCATTGATGTCAAAGTCCAAGTCAAGCCCAAGAACAAAGGAGCAAGCAAAGGCTCAACAATAGCCTCGGATAGCTCATTCACACAGTAGCTAAGCGAAAAAAGAGGAGCCAAATATTAAAACCAGGACTCTGGAAGAATAACTTTTGCAGCACAAAATGTTTCAATAAAACATCAAGCTGTGAATTCACACATCTGCAATATGTCAAACATTCCCATTTTTGGAAAAATTGCAGACACAAGTAGAAAACCACATGTTAATAAATAATAAAAGCATTTGTGAATAATGGAATTATCCAGAAAGATTTAAAAGCGTATTCATTTTCTTTTACATCAAAGTAAGCTCCAGCTATAATAATCTCATTTAATATGTTGAAAATAGTTCTATATATTGATTCTCAAAAGCTAGAAGAAGCAAACTGATAAATATGCACAACCTTTGATAGACAGTGGGAAAATTGTGGGTAATAATTCACTGTTTAGTTCTCTGCTAATTACAAGATTATCATCACTGACATGTCACATTTGAAATTATCCTAGCAATTAAATGCACCATAACACACCGTGAATAAACTAACATGATCTATTGAGCAACGTGTGTATCAGAAAGTGAATTTCTTGCGGGAGATGGGGGGGGAGGAATGTACTTTATTGCCATTTTAAAAAATTTTAGATGCCATTTTAGATGTCCTCTGTATCTCTCCACAACCCCAAATCAAACTCAATTAACATTAGCAGCTTTGTAGTTGTTAACATAAAATAAATTTCTTACATTTTGATCTGTTTTCAGCCACTTGCGGATGATGACAATCACACTATCCCCATTGCCAAGATAACTTACCCAGTTGCCTGCCAATCAGCCTATTTAGAGGTGATAGGCACAGTGAGGGTATGCATCTCGCCCTATCACAGCCTTAAAGTGGGGAATATATAGGGGTATGGGGGGAAAGCTGCACGGATGGATTTGTGTTGGCAAAGAAATTAGCACAGTCTAAATAACACAGTGTGGAGCTGGAGGAACACAGCTGGCCAGGCAGCATCAGAGGAGCAGGAAAGCTGACATTTCGGGTTGGGATCCTTCTTTCCTGCCCCTGTGATGCTGCCTGACCTGCTGTGTTCCTCCAGCTCCACACTGTGTTATCTCTGACTCCAGCATCTGCAGCTCGTTATCTCAGCACAGTCTAAATGTGGCATTTTGTTTGTCTTTCTCACAGAGGTAGAGCAATTGCAATCATGACAAATTTACCAGAGTGAGAACCTGTGCCTGATTCGCAGATTTTATTTTAAATAACCACTGGACCTGCCCGAAGTGAGTGTAAACCCAACTTCGATATTTCTGAAGAAGGGTCCAGACCCGAAAGGTAGGCTTTCCTTCTCCTCTGATGCTGCTTGGCCTGCTGTGTTCCTCCAGCTCTACACCTTGTTATCTCAGATACTCCAGCATTGGCAGTTCTTACTATCTCCGATATTGAAGTGTTCACCTTTCATTCGTTTTTTGTTAATATGAGTTCAGACACGTAATACAAACTATGACAAGTTCTCAAGTTCTGCTGCAGCTCAAAGCCAACATTCCTAAAGAGGTCTTTAGAGTCCACTGAAGAATCCAGTAAAAAATGTTCTCTCAACTCACCTTGAAGAATTTCCCAGCCTCTACGTTAATATTACACTCCACTTCCATCTCCTGCTCCCTTCCCTTCCTATTTTTCTCTACCCCCATCCCCTGAGTCAGTTGACTGGTTTAGTATCCTAGTCAAATAAGATTTCAAAGGCCTAATGACAAGGTGTGATAGTACAGTGAACTATTGCCTGCAGTGGGCTGAATTTACTTCAATAGGGCCCAAGGACGAACTTAGGCCATTCCACAGATCTTTGTCACTGGGTATGTGACTGTTTTGCGTTGATGATCAGGCAACAGAACTTAGTCCCAATTGGTTTAACCTGTGCTGAAGATTTTGATTCTGTGGTTCAGAAAAGAAGGAATGTTTTTTCAAAACATTAGACTTTTAAAGAGGACTTTAAAATACTAAACACTATCTAGAGGCAGAGTCTGAGACCTTACAGTGGTGTAATACTGAGGAGCAAAGGAGACAAAGAGGATGTTTCAAATCCCATGGTTGGGAAGTTGATGACCAGAAGGAAGAGTTTAAATTTGCATACCAATCAAATGTGATCTGAGAGAAAAAAATCAATTGGCTGGAGGTTATACTTCCCTGCTATCTGCAATTAAATAACCTATAGTCAATTAGGCTTGTTAGCAAGCCAATTCAAATGGATAATATACTGCCCACAATATAACATGATGGATGTGGCCATTTTTTATGGGCCCTTTGTAAAAGGGATGGTGTCTCCTCATTTGGGGTCTTGCATTCATTGGGGGCAACCATTCTGCCACCCCTATTATGTCGCCACATGCTTCCTCCCACGGCACCTGCCTTCAAATCCTGACCCCACCCCCTCACCCCTCTCTCTAGCTCCAATCATCCTGCCTATAAGCCTGGGATTAACCTTCCTAGGGAAGCCATGATCCACTTAGTGCTCCTTCCTGTGTCCTCGCTCAGCTCTTTATTGAGCTGTGGGGCCTGGGGGATCTGCTGGCTTATCAGATTGGCCAGCAGCTGCCGAGATAGGAAATTCCTTCCCACCGAGGGTGGAATTGGGGCCCAGGACCACCAATAACTGGGGCCTGGGGTTCTAAAGGGCTCGCTATGCTTGGACAGTGGGCATGAAACCAGTACAACACTGGAGCCTGTGAATTCTATCTCTGCTCCAGGGTGGAAATCCCACTCTCAACTTACTTAGCACACCCCTTTCCCTCCACTACACATTATGGCTTCAGAGCTTGTTCCAGTCATGTTGGGTCTGTTCCAGCCATGGGTTGACTTTGCTTCTGGGATGTTTTCCTTAATTGGTGTGGGGGATACAGCTTCAACAGGAACCCCCAGAAAGGAACTGGATAGTTACTTGAAGGAGGAAAAGTTGGAGGGGTACGGTGAATGGGTTGGGGAGTGGGACGAACTGGATTGCTCTTTGCAAAAGCTGATGCAGACTCAATGGGCCAAATTTCATGCTGCACCACCCCATGATTTTGCAATCCCAACATTAAACCCACAGTTAAGAGTTTTAATACAACAGGTCTTTTAACTGAAATTAATAAGAAGTGACTGAACAAAACCAGAACCAGATATTCAGTAAATCAGTGTTTTGGATTAAAATTGTTTCATGCATTCACCAACATGCCGACCTGGATTTAATTGTTTCCCTGTAAAGGTAACCGTAGGGAGGCTGCAGTAGAACGGGCTTAATAGGAATGACCCAGTTGAATCTCTGGTGTATTTTCTGTTTGTATAATGGCACGGTATAACTTGACCTTACTTCCACACTGGGGTCCGTTCCTTGATATTGCTACAGTCTAATATTGCACAGTTGGAAAATCACTGGCCATGTCTGTGTGGAGTTTGCACATTCTCCCTGCGTATGCATGGGTTTCCTCCAGGTGCTCCGGTTTCCTCCCACAGTCCAAACAAGTGCAGGCTAGGTGGGTTGGACATGGGAAATGCAGGGTTACAGGGATAGGGTGGGAGGGGTGGGTCTGGGTAGGATGCTCTTTAAACTCGATGAGTCGAAAGGCTTGCTTCCATACTGTAAGAATTGCTTGACTTGTGAAATTGGTAAAATAAAGCTCTCTGGGCTCACTGGAAACTAACTGATTCTTATTACTTGTGTACAGTATTCATTCTAATCAATGTTATCAATTTGCAGCCTTTAGCAGACTTTCCTTTGAATTCAACGTCACACTTATTTTTAGGCCTAACTAATCAATGTCTAGTTAGATAATAGCCTGACGAAGGAATCATATTCTGTTGAAGTATTTCCAAGTTCGAGATGTTCACTCTGTTTCTCTCTCCGCAAGTGTTTCTCCAGCAATTCTCTGTGTTTGTTTCAGACT